AGCTTTGGTGAATCCCCAGTGAAGATGCGGTCGACTCGCTGACACTCAGGTAGTCCAACCTGAACGGCGATTTGAGCATGGAACTGAGGTGGGCGCACGAGAAATTCCTATTCTCGAACACCTGCAGCGCGTCAAGCCTCCCCGCAGGCGGCGGAGGGCAGGAGGCGCTCTCCCCGTACGCGTAGCCCTCCTGGGCGTAGGCGACGAGTGAGATGGGCTCGATGGGGTTGATGGTGTCGACGTTTTCGAGGCGACCGGTGACGAAGGGCCGCGTCACGTTGGCGGGGCTGGGGAAACTGAGACGGAGCACGACGGGGAGGAATTGCACGGGCGTGCCGTCGCCAGAGCGCCTGGACCCGGAACCGACCATGCAGAGGTCCCCGGACGCGGTGTAGTAGTAGCCCTCCAGGCCGAAGGTGATGGAGCCGCGCCGCCCCGTGAAGCGCGGGAGGCGCGGGCGGAAGTGGCGCCCGCGGACGTCGTACTCGAAGAGGTTCCGGCCGCCGCGGTCGCGCAACAGGCGGCGCCAGCCGGAAACGGTGAGTGGCGGAGACGTGGAGGAGCGAGGCGTTGGTGGTGCGGGCGACGGAGGAGGGGAGCAACGAGAAGGAGCGCGGCTGGGAGGAGGTGTCGGAGCCGAAGATGCGGTCCCCGCCGTCGAAGTACCCGGTGGAGACCTCGGGGACGGAGACCCGGGCGTCGGGCCCGAGCGCCGAAACTTGGCCGTGCAGGTCGAGCGCGGACGGGAGGTTGGGGCAGTGGTGGGTGTGGGAGAGGGCGGACAGGGAGATATCCGCCGCGGCGGCGGCGGGGATCAGGAGTAGAAGCAGGAGGGGGAGGACGAGGAGCGGGTGGTGGCTAGGGTTTGCGCGCGGTGGCGCCATTTGGGAGGTGGAGAGGAAGCGGCGAGTGAGATCTCGTCTCCCCCAGGTATTTATATGTATACCATTATAAAAGGTCGTAATTACGTGTAAGCCACTCAGTTGGTACGGTCATACATATAACTAACCCAAACTTTTTTTTGTCGTCTACGCCATTTCATCCATCTTCCATCCAATTTTTACCGTTTAGCTACCCTGACATTTGGGCCTGGTCAATAAAGATGTCTAAAATGTCCCTCTTCCTCTGTACCTTATCCTCTCCTTCCTCTTCTCCTTCACCCGATCCACCTGGCCGCCCGTAGCATCCTCTCGCGCCATCCTCTCCCCGATGGGGCCACATCCCTGCCACATGCTAGCCCACCCCGACCGCCTCCTCCCGCACCGTCCTCCACCGACTGCTTATAGTCGGGCCACTCCGCTGCCCCATTGTCGCTTGCTCGCTCTGGTCGTCGTCTGCTGGAGCCGCCGTCGCCTGCTTGAGCCGTGCCCCTGCTCGCTCATGCCATCGTTTCTATTGCGGTGCGTCCTTCATCTTCAACAGACGCAGCGGCAGGGGATCGGGCTCGGCTTGCCAAATCCCGGCCGGTGGCGGCGGCCATGCATCACGGGCGAGAACCCTTTGTGGCGGCGCAGCGGCGAGAAGCGGCTGGCGGCGCGCGCGACAAGAAGCCGCACTCGCAGGCCTCATTTCATGCCAGGATTTGTCGTGGCCTCTTGGCCACGTGAGCCTGTGGCACGACGGAGAGCATATCAGTGGCGGCCCGGGGTGTTCTGGCGTTGGTGGCGAACAAGAACGGAGAGCGGCGCACACGCGGGGAGATGGGGAAGGCGAGGGAGCAGCCAGTTAGGGTGGAGGAGGCATGGAGAAGCGAGCTCTCGGTGGTGCACTGGCTGTGGCCGACGGCGGCGTTCGTTGGCCCCTGACACCACCTAGCTCGGCGAGCTTGTGCCGTGCGTGGAGGATGACGCGGCGGACGCAACAGCGGGGCTGGTTTGGCGCTACGGCTGAGAAGATACTCCAGATCAAGAAAGCTGAAGGAGAGGCGGAATCCAAGTGCCTGGCTGGCTGGCATGGGTATTGCATGGCTGTGTCAGGCCATTGTGGACGGGCTGAGGGACAGTGTGCTCGCCTTCTCAAAGAAGGTTCCAGGCACCACAGCGAAGGACATCATGGACATGGTCCTGGTCACCCGGTAGTCCAGTACTTCGACACCATGAAGGAGATTGGGGCCTCCTCCAAGTCCTCTTCAGTGTTCATCTCCCATGGTCCTAGAGCTGTCAAGGATATAGCAGCGCAGATAAGAGATGGTCTCCTGCAGGCTAATCTGCAGTGAAAGGATCCTCAGAAAAAAAGGATTAATTCTGATTCGTAAAGCAGTACCGAGGGCATTGGTCCTATGGTGCTATAAAATTGCTAATATAAAACAAAACTTGCTTGGTTTGTAAAAGCATAGTAGGCTTTACTGTACTTGCGAGTGAGCCTGGGTATCAAATCCGTATGCTATTTGGTGATCTTCTATGCTGTACGTGGATAATCCTTTGGGTCAGACGTCCGAGTAGGCATCTTGGAATCTCATTTGCGGCATATTTTACTTTGATTCGGTCTGGGCCGCTGCAACAAAGTTGTCATTTCCCCTAAGCTCTACGACTTTTATTAAGGGGTCAGGGTCATTTGCGCTTCAGATTAGCGGCTAATTAAGCCCCCAAGTTGACACTGTCAGATGAATGCCAAAGCCACAAGACTAGGGAGTGGCACGGGAGAAAAACGCAACTTTCAGTAAGGTACTCTAGTCAGAGGGTAGTTTTGACTTTTCGTAGCTCCATTTAACACCGTTAGTAGCAGATGTCGGCGGAATGCGTGGATGACAAAAAAGTTTTGAGCAGTGGCACCTATGACCGCTCGAACTTTTTAGTAGCTTATACGCAATTGCAATCTTTTATAATGACATACAGGTAAAAGCCTCTTCTAAGTTTCTGTTCAGGAAAGGAGGAGAGGACGATGGGGGAGGAGAGGAGCGGCGGAAGGCTTGACTTCGCGTTCGCGGGTTTAAGCTGTCGAAGTGTTAGATGGGAATCTTTTTCTCTCCTTTTTTCATGGCTTCGGTGGGAATTTTTGTTCTTTCCCTTTCTTTACCAGAAGGATTGATTTTTGTTACTGCTTCTGCCCAGATGCATTCTTGGTTAACGTGTTTTAAATTTAACCAAATATAAAGTAAAAATTAATATTTATGGCACCAAATAAATATAGTATGAAAATATATTATATGCCAAATCTATAATACTTATTTAATATTATAAATATTGATAATTTTTTATTCATAGTTAGTCAAATTCTAGATACTTTAATTTGATATTGTGCTAGAATTGTATTCTTTTTCGAATGGATGGAGTACTATACAAGATTTATTTATCATATGGAGTTGTTGGGTATTAATTTACATCCGCCCATGTTGTTGATGTAATTTTACCTTATTTTACGATCTCAAGTAAAAGAAAAGCACTCTAGCAAAGACCCTGCTAGGGCAACTATTTTTAAGAGGCTCTCAAATTCTTCTCCAAGGCTCCAAGCCTTTACTACCAATGGCTCTAGAGAGAGACCTTCTATTTCCCGTTGGTGTTAGCTTCATTCACGTTGATTACTTTTCTTGTAGTCGTTCGTGCCACTGCCCCACCGGCTTTAGTTGGCGGCCCGAGGCCGACCTCGCAGATAGCTTCTTCCCCGTTCCGAACTTGGTCCTTGGTTCTGATGGTGCATCACACTGCACTAAACTCCTCCTTAAGCTCGGCCCCTCCCAAGCAGCACCTCTTGCCAATCAACACTCTCACCAAGCTTGGCTCCTTAGCAAGAGTAAACCTCATCATGGCCACTCGACCCAACCCGCTCGAAAAAAACGGTCTTACTTGACATAGCAAGTGTATCGGGTGGCCATAGTTATTTATCTATAATCTAATCTAACATAGGAAACCCCCAAAAACTCAAGAAATAGCCCAACTAGACTTGGCCCGAAGTGTCCGTCAGGTCGGCGTAGCCATCTCCGACCCAATTTGGCATTTGATCAAGTCTAACTGAGAACACTCCTTCTGACGGCTCTCCAAGGTATGAAGCTCCTGTTTTTTTATTGAAAAAATGAATGCCGCCCATAGAAGTGATGAAATTGGTGAATGAGAAGATGGGAATTCCCTTTCTTTGTTCATGGATTAGGTGGGAAAATTTTTTCTTTTTTTCCAATTTTTTGACCAGAGTGATAGGCTTTTTTTGATCCATTGGGGTGACGATCTATTGGGACAGTGATGATGTACTATTCATCTGATCATATTATTGTCGCCTGTAAAGTTGGTTGGGGTAGTAGTTTGCATCCACCCATGCGGGTGGGCGTTATGGAGCATGTGCCCAGTTGGCCAGTTGGGGCCTGGGGGCAGAAAAATCAGGGAGAAAATAAATAACCTGCCTGAAACAAAGCGTGCATTGTCTAGACCACGATAGCGTGAGCAACCAAAGGAACCCAGGAAATAGGTTTCGTAAAAGATTACTTGGAAGGCGTTTTTGTTCAGATGGTGCCGACGGCAGCAAATCCTGGTGGTAAAAGCAGCTCGTCCAGTCGTCCTTCGTCCGAGTGGCTCTCTCCCTGTGGACGGCAGCGCGAGCGCAGGACAGGAAACCGGAGCATCATCGTCCACTGAGTGCACTATATATACATACGATACAATAAACAGTTACAGTGGCAGGCACACCGAGCCTGACAGCCTGAGGTAACGAGATCACACGAACGAATTAGGCAGGAATCGCCTGATGAACCTCATTTTGATATCCAAAATGGTGGTCCCAATCATATCCCCACACAAGCTACCGAGCTGCGGACGACGGCTCCGCAGATATAAAGCAGCACATAAATACCCTTACAGGCTATATATCTACGGTAGAATGGTGTCCCTAAACGCCAAATAAGTCGATTATGTTTTACCAGAAGAGCTAGGCAGGATATTTACATGGACTACCTACAGAAAGCAGTTAGATGCTCGGCAGCTCAGGCATTAACTTTAACTTGCTGTGTGGCGGTGTGGGATAGGAGCCGTAGCTTGAATAGTTAAGTTTATTTCATAGAGCAAGCCGACTCTGCCTTACAGCCTCAGTGTGGTGTCCGCTGCGGATGTGGAAGCTCCAGATCTTGCCTTCTCGGTGAGGAACTTGCCACAGTCCGCGCCCTTCGCAGTGAACTCCATCAGAAGTTCCTCAACAAGTCTCTTCAGTGACTGCTTGAACCTCACTGAGCAGCTCGTATCACCCTCATCGACGTCTTGCACTCCATCACCAGAAAGGCATCCAACCTGGGCACCATCCAGGTAGGCTCTGCAAGCTACAAGGATGTTGCACCCATACTTGCAGAAATGGCCAGCAACAAAATCCTCGAAATGCTGCAGGCAGTACATCCATGTTAGATTTGCACATGAAAGCATAGACGGCTAAACATACAATAGTTCTATCACAACAGGTACTATACTACAAATCAAATCTCCATGTTCGAGCGGTTAAGTCCCATATTCACCAAGCTTGCCATTGTTATATTGGTTTCGAAAAGCTCAGTAATACTACCGAAACAAGTAGTATTCCCATAATTAGAACAATAACAGAGGCATACCTTTGGTGGATTTCGAAGAGAGTACAACATCGTCCTGCAGGATAGCAGGAACGTATCTTCATTATATGTCAGGGATTTCTTCTCCCCATGAGCTGTGTTAGCATGCATAGCATAGCCAGGCTCATTGAAATAAGGCTTTGCATTCAAAACCAAAGCTTGAATAGAGACCAGGACCTGCAGCATAGTTGAATTGGCTGGATTCCACTTCTCACATCCACTGCCAGTCCAGGTGTTTAGGAGGCTAAGGCACACCTTCCCACAAGCATACAAGTTTGGATTAAGCCGCAAACCACCAGCACGGTAATTCACCATCTGTATAGAATCAACTGATCATCCCATGATCCATAAAGCAAACTGAAGAAACAAGGAAAATAATTAATTGATATACAAGTGCAAGTCAAGAAAATATTACCGGTGGTACATTTGGATACTGAGGAGGGAAGTAAATGTCAAAGAAGAAGAGACCGTCATGGTAAGGAGTACCAGCTGGTCCCATAATGACAGCTCTAAGCAGGTCCATTCTATCCTCATATGCCCTCACAAATATAGTATCTATTCAATATGGAGAAAAATACAAATTAGAATATTTTCTTGAAAGCAGACGAGTGAGATTATAAACATTCTTGGCCCTTATGAATAGAGCCTTCAAAGTTCTAAAAACAGTAAGGAAATGTTCTCAAGACAAAAGAAGCATTTCAACTAACAAAGGCATGGTTGCACCAAGTGTGGTACTATTCAAAAACACTAATGCGACCAATTCATAAAATTACGGTATAGTAAGCAACAGCTACCTACCTGGCAAATCTTTCTCTAGGACTTTCCACTCATGCTGAATACGTTTCACCCAGTCTTTTGATGGCTGTTAAAATAATTTTTTGAGTACTGAACTGAACTAAGACAATAAATGATACCAAGGGCAGGGCAAAAAGAAAGTTACCTTTTTTACCACCTGAACCTTTCTCTTTTCTGGCTTTGAATAATAATGATCACTATGATCATCAACAGTGTCAAATCTTTTGAAGGCCTTGTATTTTTCTTCGATTTTATCATCTACAGCCTTAGTGGATTTGGTCTTATTTGCAATCTCAATAGCAGTCTTCTGCATCCACGGTAAAGAAGCCTCCAAACCAGGTGGAACATCAAGGTTATCAAACTTGGCAGACAAACCAAATTTAAACTCACTTTCAATAAGTGGAGCATCATAACCATCATCCTCAAACTCATCTTCATCATAAGCATAGTCTTCTTCAAATCCCTCATAAGGGTAGTCATCAGAATAGTTGTAAACCGACTCATCTTGAAACACTTTGAGGTCAGCCCAGGAATTGGTATGTTTTGAAACATATGTGCTTGGGCCAGGGCAGTCCTGAATCCAACCACTCTGAATTTATTTACACAGAAAAGAATCTGTCTGAGCTTGCATGGTATAAAAGCAAATAATGAGAAAGAAAAAGATACGAGGCAATTTACCTTGCCATGCTTTGGCCAATTCATAGGGCATACAACAGTTTGCTTATTCTTGTCCACTGGTGCTTTATCACCAATAATTATGACTCCATCAGGATCATCATCATCAATTTCAATTACTTCTTGAGGTACAACCTATTGTTCAAGCAAGCACAAATTTCAGAAGAAAATGCATCAATTAGTAGTTTCTAGAACTGCAATTCAGTTCTGCAAGCAACGCTCTTTCGACACAGTATAATTGTAACATGAAATGTGCTCAGAAGCTATTAATTTGCCATAATAAAACAAGAGCATTTGTTTGTCATAATTTTAACATTCACCCTGTGTACCTAAAGAACAGAAATTATGCCACATGTAATGATTCATGAAGATATTTCAGACAGGCTTTGTTGTTGTTGTTTGTTGCATATGCACTTGACAAATGCCACTGCCATTGTCAATTCGTTAGTATATTAACCGCACCATGCCTCTATGTCTATGAGACTCTGGCAGAATGCGCCTATTAGTCAGCACTTGGTAGATATAACGAAAAGGCACAGAATGAAAGAAACCCAAAGGAGAGTTCTGCATAACCCCCCCATGTGGTCACTTGGATTTTGAAGGGCTGGGGGGGGTGACATAGATGTAGTTGTGACATGTGTGCACAATGCATATGGTATATGTCTTTATTTCAAAATAAATGGCAGTTCCAAATAGCTTCTTCATACAACTTTATGAAAAAAAAATTCAAGGAATGACAAGATTACTAGGGCATCATTAAAATTTATGAAATGTTCTCAGCACTTTTACTTAGGAGGTGCATTTTTCGGTGTCACAGATCTCAAAGCTTATTTCAGACCAGCATTTCTCCAAATGAAATCTTTGGCAGCAATATATATATAAAGGCGCATATGAGTAGATGTACAGGCAGGTGGCTGACCAGGAATATGCCATCCACAATAGAATCCACTTGTTTGTCAGTGTAACATATTGAAAATAAGATGGCTACTGTGATTACCAAAGAAAGGAAAAATCTAACGTCTGTTGGGTGATGAAGACTGTCATAAGTTCACAAAAAGGATCAAGGAGCTGATGAATCAAATGAAGATGCAAGGGGAACCGATGTCATGTACGGCCGGACCTACACTAGGCGGCGCCGGACCCGCGACATCAGACGCGCGGCAGAGCACGCCCAGCGCGCCGCGGACGCGGCCCAGTGTTGGCCCACAGTTAGCCTCCCAAACCACTAGTCTCCCAGACCACTGGCCCCAGACCACTAGTCTCCCAGACCACTCCGTTGGTCTCACAGGATCACCGGCTCACGACAGTGAACCACTCCAGCCGATCTTGCCGAGCACCGGCTCAGGCGAGTGGAGCACTTGACGGTCTCGCCGAGCACGCGCTAGTATTGCCGAGCACATACTAGCCGTGCAGACCACGTACCGGCGTTGTCCGTACCCACACACTACGGATCGAGCTAGAAGAAGAAGGGAGAACAGAACAAGCACGCACAATACAAGACAACAACGCTGGCGAGGCTCATGTCGTGTGATGGCAAATCTGAGCTCTCTTTCGAAGTTGCCATACATGTCTATTTATACAACTCTAACTATCTAGTCCATGTGCGGCGCCCATGCCGCATACAATAACTAGATAACCCGACAAAGATCTTGACTCGCACTGACCGGACAATCGCCTGTTCCTCACAGTCTGTCGCAGGTGAGCCGTCTTGGCGCTCGCAGACTGCAGCTGCCATCAGATCACAAATAGGGGCAAAGTCGGCGCCGCTTTCCCTTGCTTTGTTCACACAAGAAGTGATAAGTCGGCGCCGCCTTCCTCCTCTCATTGTGTTCACACAAGGTGGCGATGAGATTAGCTAACAATCTTTCCTTAATCCTACCGCTAACCCTTGTACCCTCCATGCAAATCATCTCCTTCACTCCATGAGTCGAAGTCGTCCGAAGCGGCTTGGTGAGGACGTCCGCGAAGTTGCCGACGGTTCGACAAACTCGATGACGATCCGCCTCCATCAACACAGGTCCACGAGGAAGTGGAACTTCACGTCGATGTGTTTACTCCGGTCGTCAGAACCGGATTCTTTCTGCGAGGGCGATGGCGGGCTGGTTGTCCACCATCGCCGTGGGTGAGCTTCCACGCCGGTTAGCTTCGCCCGGCAAATTGGCGTAGAGCCACAACAACTTGGCACGCCATTGCGGCCGCCACGCCTACGCCTCGCCGCATGTAGATAGCGCCACCACCTTTCTTTTCACCGACAACGACCATGAAATTGGGGCCGACCCGAGGAAGACGAAATGCGCCAGGAAGGTGCTCCGTCGTCGTCGATGTCCCCGCCATGTGTCGCATCGGCGAACACCGTGAGTCGCACCCTTACTTCCCCGGTCTTTGGGAAGATGATTTCATGATTCACCGCCCCTTGACGTAGCGTAGTAGCCGTTTCACGCAGCCCGATGATCCTCTCGGGATCCTCCATGAAGCGATCGACGTAGCCCACGGCGAACGCAATGTCCGCCTTTGTGTGGACTAGGTAGCGCAGACCACCGGCGATGCTCCGTAGAGAGTGTTGCATCTACTTTCGCCATGCGTCTTTGCCCTTTTGTCGCCTTCACCGCTCCTCTATCGAGTCACGCATGGCTTGCACTCCACCATGCCGCCATCTCCAACAGACTTGGAGGCATACGCGTTTTGCCCGAGCGTGAGTTCCTCCTTCCCTGTCTCACCTCGATGGCGAGGTAGTAGGAGAGCGCCGAGATCGCTCATTCAAAACGAGCTGCCATCTCGCTTGAAGTCGTTGATATCCTCCGTGCGCGCCGCGGTGACAATTAAGTCATCCACATACACGCCGACCACGAGTTCTTCCTTCCCCCGTTGTCGCGTGTAGAGCGCGTGCTCGGTTGCGCACCTCTGAAACCCAAGCTCGCCCAGCGTGGTGTCAAGCTTGGCGTTCCATGCTCGAGGGGCTTGCCTCGGCCGTAGAGCGCTTTCTTGCAATGAGCACCTCGTGCTCCTCTCCCTTGACGGCGAACCACGGAGGTTGCCTCGACGAAGACCGCTTCCGCCACCGCCGTTGAGGAAGGCCGATTTAACGTCTGTGATGGACGCGCCACCTTTTTTGTCGCCGCCAAAGCAAGTAGCAAACGGACCGACTCCATGCGCGCTATTGGTGCAAAAACCTCCTCGAAGTCGATGCCCTCGCTACCGATTACAAAGCCTCGGCGACGAGGCGCTTTATACTTGACAATGGCGCCGAGCTCGTCCTTTTGACTTTGTACACCCACTTCAGCTGATCGGAAGGATTAGTTGCTATTTTATTCCATCAAGGATTATATATCCTCCTCAGAACTTAGCACTTTGGGGGTTGGAAAGGAATTATCAACTAATTCATCTCCTATCTCTCGATTCTCAAGCCTAGGTCGTTGAGGGTAAAACTCGCCCTAGAAGACGGACCACGACTTCGATCTCCGTAGTCGAGGGTCGGCTACCCTAGGGCTTGAAGCCCTTGACAACTCGGTATCACGATCCCGGCGATCCTCTTCTTCCACCACCACACCCCACCAACAACCGCAGCCGACCCACCGACCGACCCCCACCTCCAGGCCATGCCGCTTCCAAAGAAGATAGCCGCGTCGCCCTCCTCCCCGCCAAAGAAGATGGGCGATAATCAAGACCACCGTTGAGTCACTCATGGCGGTCCAGAACACTGCAGCCACCAGTGGCGGCGCGCAGCAGCGGCGATCATGGCCTCTCCACCGATCGCTCGTCATCCTCGGGCTCCAAGCAAGCCGAGGGCGGCCCCCCCGTCGATCGGCCCCCGAAATTCCAGAAGATGGATTTCCCGCGGTACGATGGCAAGTCCGATCCGCTGATCTTCCTTAACTGCTATGCGAATCGTATTTCCATCAACAACAGATCATGGAGGAGGAGAAAGTCCGGATGGCCTCGTACAACTTTGGAGGGACGGGCTCAGATGTGGTACATCCAAGTCCAAACGGACGAGGGTACTCCATCGTGGCGCCGTTTCAAGGAGCTCATCAATCTCCGCTACGGGCCGCCCCTACGCTCGGCGCCCCTCTTCGAGCTCGCCGACTGCCGCCACACCAGCACCGTCGCCGACTACCAGGACCGGTTCCAGGCGCTTCTTCCTCGGGCGGGCCCCTCGACGAGGTGCGCGCAAGGTCGACTCTTCACCGGCTTTCTTTCGCCGCTTCGACCTCGGCGACGCAGTGCACAACCCATATCCTCGCGCGCCGCAATGAGCTCGGCTCGTCACCGAATCATGGGAGCGAAGACATGGTGGTCCCAGCCGCCACGGGTCGCGCGGGCGCCCGGCCCCTACTCCCGGCTCCGGCGCCACGGCTGCTCCTACCGGCGCCGCGGGCCGCTCCCACGCCAGATGCCATCGAGGGCCGCCCACCGATCAAGAGGCTCACGTCAGCGGAACAAGAGGAACGTCGCCGCCTCGGCCTCTGCTACAACTGCGACGAAAAGTTCACCCAGGGTCATAACCGGGTCTGCAAGCGACGAGCTGGTACAGGAGGAGGGGAGAGATGTCATGTACGGCCGGACCTACACTAGGCGGCGCCGGACCCGCGACATCAGACGTGCGGCAGAGCGCGCCGCGGACGCAGCCCAGGAGGCGGCTGAGCCATCGAGTGGCTAGTTTAGGCAACAGTTGTTAGTATCCCTATGATTAAGGAGGGATTAGTTGCTATTTTTATTCCATCAAAGATTATATATCCTCCTGTAACCGGCACTTTGGGGGAGGAAAGGAATTATCAACTAATTCATCTCCTATCTCTCGATTCTCAAGCCTAGGTCGTTGAGGGGTAAAACCTCGCCCTAGAAGACGGACCGCGACTACGATCTCCGTAGTCGAGGGCCGGCTACCCTAGAGCTTGAAGCCCTTGACAACCGAACTAATATTATTAGAGGTAGTTTAGTATTCTTATGTGTGCATTGTCATGATGTAATTCTTCTTTCTCATGCTGATTGTTCTCTAAGAAACTAAGAGTTCTTGTTCCCATGAATTCGTTCAGGGAGTCGGTAAGCTCTTTTTTTTCTTCTTTTTGCTAGAGAACATACTGCAATTTTTTTTAACTCCACTAGTTCCATACTTCCATGGTTGACTACTACACCAATAAGATGGATTACCAAATGAACACTTTACAACATATCACACCTTTATTCAAATATGTGACAAATGAATTAACTTATCAACTGCAATCTGCAATTGTACAACCATCAGGCCTAATCAGAATTCACTATTTCCTTAGCACAATAAAGAAAATCAACCAGACCAATCTCAAGGTATCCAGATTTATAGACAAGCAATACGAATTCTGCACAGCCTGAGAACCTCATTTTCACCTGGCACTCAATCATCGTAGGAGGAACACATAACCTAACCATTCTCCCAGTACAATCCAGTGGGCATCAACAGACCGCGTCAACCATCCCACACGCACCACAAATCACAACTCCCGATTCCAAAACAGCGACGGTAACAAAACTAGGCGCAGCGAACAGAGGAGGAGACGATTTAGACATCACCTGGCTCCGCTTCCTCTTGTGGTGGCTAGGGGCCCACCCCGCAGCCGCGGCCGGAGACACCTCGACCACGTCGGGGTCATCGAACGACGAACTGCCCGCGCAGAGGTAACTCCTGCGACGGGTACCGGAACGGCAGACAAACAAATCCGCATCAGAATTGGAGGAAGGGGGACGAGACGGGACGTGGCGAGGTGAGGGGCCAGATAGATCGGCGACGGGAGTGACTCACTTGGAGGCGCGGGTCTTCATCGGGGGCGCAGCAATGCGATCGCCGCCGATGGGTAGCGACGGCTGTCGCCGTCAGGGTTCCGGCGAGGTGGGTGGGGGATGAGGGTCTGGGTGGATGAGTGCGGCGGCGGAGACTGAGGAGAGAAGGGAATTTTTGTACGATAGGAGTAATAACGCCAGAAAAGCAGTTCGGATTTTTGTAATTTATTTTAGAGATCTCTTTATTTTAAGGCCCGGTGCGCAGTTGGGCCCTAGGCTCTCGCCTTTCTGCATTCCAGTTCAGGCAATCAGCCGCTGCTTCAGTATCTGGACACAGGACACCTGGACCTTGGGAGGCTGGATCGTGGGCCCTGGGCTACTCACGTGTGGTGTGGTGGGTCAATAATTAAGCATAACCACGTGTTCTCTAATATTTTAAGGCTAATCGTGTGAGAATTAGAAGACGATTATTGTCGGTGCGAAATGTGGCCAACAAGTAAATATCTATAGTTTTGCCGTGCGTTGTGATCGGATGTGGCCTAGCACTCAATGACACCACGTCCAGTTAAGGTCGGTCGGTGACTTTATTCCTGAGCCCAGGTGCTCGAAGTTTGTTGTGGGGTTACAAACAATTAAGGAATGAGAAAGGGGGTGTTTAGAGGTCTGGTCGGACTCTGATCCGAGTAAAAGAGAGTGATGGATGCTCAAACGTGCGCTTAGTCTTGGAGCGTTTGCTCTGTGTGTCCGAGCTTATTAGCTGTTGAGAGCATGTAGACTGTGTAGCTGTTGAGCTGTCTTTGCTCCTTCTAGAGCTGTTGAGCTGTTTAGCCGTTGTGCTGTTGTCCTCGAATCTTCGAGTCTCCCTGGTAGAAGAGAGCGCATCCCCTTTTATAGTTGAAGGGGATGGCCTTACAAGTAAGAGAGAAAGAGAGAGTGCATACGAGCGCTACCTAGTCTCGTTGCCCACGCCATCGGGTACGGGATGGTCGCCATCGTCCACAATACTGTTTATGCTCATACGCGTCTGGCTGGCTCTACCGTGTTCGCCTGGTACGACAAACGACGGCGCCCATAATACTGTTTATGCTCTGACGTGCCTGGCAGGCTCTACCGTGTTCGCATGCTACGGCAAACGACGGCACCCATAATACTGTTTATGCTCTGATGCGTCTGGCAGGCTCTACCGTGTTCGCCTGGTACAGCAAACGACGACGCCCACAATATTGTTTATGCTCTGACGTTTTTGGCAGGCTCTACCGTGTTCGCCTGGTACAGCCAACGACTGCGCTCACAATACTGTTTATGCTCCTGACGCGTCTGGCAGGCTCTACCGTGTTTGCCTAACATGCCCCGACGGCACCGTCCTGCAGGTGCGCAGGGCATGGCAGGGTACGGTCCTCGGTATTGCGGTTGACTTGAGCGCCTAACCTTATCTGCTCCGCCTGCTCCCCGGGCGCACACCGAGCGGGTGTCCCCGGTCGGTCGTTCCTAATTGGCCCCTACCATGTCGATCGGGAAAGAGCAGCGAGCAGAGGTCCGACGTATTCTCGGTCGGAGAAAGGGGTCGGAGTCGGACTGTGGTCCCACCACGGCTAGACCTTCCGGTCGCACCTCCGATCAAATCTCTTGACCGGAGGTGCCGGTCGGGGGCCGGATCGTGATCTTGACCTGTCATTGTGTATCTGGGCCGGCCCAGACACGTGCTGTCGCTGCGCCGTCTGTTAGGCCGAGTTTTGTAGAGAAGCGGGTCCATTGAGGACCCCGGATGCATCTATCTGCAGTAGTACAACTGCCGTAGAATATTTTTATTTTATAGATGCATCGATGAAAGTAAATAATACTGTAAATGATTTGTAAAGCCAGCGCTATTAGATGGGGTATATATACATTACACGAGGTATAATGTAAATAATGTGGGGATTATTCAGAAGAGCAGAAACATATGCATACGGCTACAATCCAATAACAAATTCTTTATCACACAATTTTTAACAAAATTTACAATGAGCATAGTATAAACACAGAGTTTTGTTGCTAGTCTCGATCTGTCAACAGGTAAACACAAAAAGATATAAGAATAGCAGATTAGCAGTAGAAGACGACGTTCAATAAAAGCACTTTGCTCACACAGCTAACATGCACCAATGCCCACATTAGAATCCATGTCCTCCCCCGTCATTATCCTTGCGGTTACTATTATTAATCAGAAAGGAGATGGCGACTTCTTTCTTTATGAACCTGTACACAGATGGTCCGGGTGTGATGCCAGCCGATCTGCCACAACTGGTGGATGCAAAATTACAGAGGAAATGAATGAATATCTATGTGATAATGAGGAGTTATCTCCTCAGAAAATCTTGGACGCCTTGTTTCAGATGGGGACGCCTTATTATATCAATAGAAGCACACACGTCGAGAGTTCTTCGTTCAAAAAAAATATCGTTAACCGAAGGTAATACATATGTAAAGGAAAACTCAAATGCTACGTCCAGGGCAGGATTTAGGCATGGGGGCCATTCCGACAATGAAATACACAGGCATACTTAAATTGCCGTTGCAAGATCATAACAATCAAATCAACGCTTGATTTGTGATACAAAGAAAGCTAAAAAAGCTTGAGATTTTTTTTTAGATTTTTAAGGCATGGCTCAAGTCAACATTACAAAAGACCATAAACATTACAACATGTGGATGGATGCATCTGTAATTAAAGAAACACCTCGGGACGAACACTAACCCCTTATCTTACCAAATTATATATCATATATGATGTATCATTCTAATTCGGCCCTGTTTGGATATGCTTCTCGCCACCACGTGGTGCTGTAGGAGAACCGCGGCCGAGGAGCCGCGATATGTAAAATCAGAGACTCAGTCCAATCTTGCAGTAGACAAGTCACGAGCGGTTGAGAAAATCATGCCCACCACAGGGTGTTTGGCATGCTTCTCATCGATTCCCGTGACCGAAGTTAGTTAATCGGATTATAAGTGTATCCAAACAGGACCTTCATATGCTATAAAAAATCACGTCAATAATAGGATCAAAGAATAAGGAATCCCTCAACCTCAAGGAAACGGACTGTAAAAGAAGTCGCTTCCTATGGATTGGGGCTCATCACATTTGAGGCGGCAAATGCAAGGTAAATTGGAAGCGTTGTAACCGTCTAACTGCCCTACCAAGTTTAGAGGTTTGGGTATCCTCGACTTCTACAAATTTGTAAGAGCACTTTGCCTACGCTGGTTGTGGCATGCTTGGCGCTCTGAAAGTAAACCTTAGGGTAGGAATGGATTTACCTTCTGATGAAATTGATCGGCAACTCTTCAATGTAGCATCGAATATTACACTTGGGGATGGCTCCAAGGCTCTTTTTTTTTTGCATTCAGCATGGCTGGATGGTGTATAAGACACAGCTTCAACCATTTTTTTCAGCAAGCAAGAAGAGGAACAAAACGGTACAACAGGTGTTGCAGGACAATTCATTGGTGCATGACATAAAAATTCTAGCAATCAACACGCCTCGGCAGTTGAAATTTGTTGTCCTCGTGTACACCTCAATGTGAGCGCAACTGATCATATTGAATGGACGCTCGACACCAAATGGTGGTACACAATTTCATCGATTGTTTGACATCGAACTAGATACTAATTGAGAGAATTCCTTATTTGACACTAGATAAATGACACGTTCCTTTTTTTGACCCTCAAAAAAATTCCGTTCCCTATTTGACACCGAGTTCAACTTTCATTCCTTATACGACACTCCGTTGGATTTTCCATCCGCGAACCGTTAACTGCAATGTGAAAAGACGATTTGCCCCTGTGGGCCCCACCACCCTTTCTCCTCCTCTCCTCCCTTTCTCCCTCTCCTTCAGCCTGCGAAGCACGGCCGCTGCTGCTTGCTCCATGCGGTCGCGGTGGTCGTGGCGTTGTGCATGTGCGCGCAAGCGCAATGGGAGGGGCGCAGGTGGCGCCGCTTGGGACCGGAGGGGTCAGCTGTGCAGAGAGAAGAGGTGCGCGGCACACCATGGTCGCCCAGCGGAGTTCACCCCAACAACTCAAACTCAAGCTAGGAGACACTACGGAGAAGATACTTGGTGCGTTGAATCGGGAGCTCACCGCGAACTCAATGTAGGGGACCTCGTCGACGAGAGTAGGCTGGAGAGGGAGGGAGCCGAGGCGAGGCGGACGGCAGCTCCGGCGAGGTCACGGGAAAAGATGTTGCGGGTGCGGATTGACGGCGAGGAGTAGCGGGGTGATCTTGTGGTGTCTCTCATGATGCCGGTGGGGGGGAGAAATCGAGGCCAAGATGGCTCAGGCGGGGAGATCGACGACCTCGAGCTCGGCTCACATCAATGGCGGCAAGGGCGCCTGTTCCCTGAGGCGCAGGGAGGCGAGAGGCCAAGCGGAGAGGCGAGGCGGTTGCAGTGCGGCGTCTGCAGCGTGAGTCCTGGACCCTCCTTTTATAGGGCGAGGAGGCGAGGGGGGGCCGACTACGGAGCGCTTGTGGCGGCGTTAATGGCGCCGGTTCTGTCGCATGCAGAGGATTGAGGAGAAGGGGAGGAGAGGAGGAGAAGGGTGGTGGGGCCTGGGCGCAAAATCGTCTTTTCACATCGCAGCTTAACGGTTCACGGATGGAAAATCCAACGGAGTCGTATATAAGGAATGAAAGTTGAACTCGGTGTCAAATAGGGAACGAAAATTTTTTGAGGGTCAAAAAAGAAACGGGTCATTTGTCTTGTGTCAAATAAGGAATTCTCTCATACTAATTTAGAAGCCCTGGGCGCTAGTCAAATGCAAGTTTTTTTTTTGCTTGGCTACCCGTCCAAGACCGCCTTTGGACAATAGATCGCTTGGCTTGAAGAGGATGGCCAAACCACCGTTTCTGTCCTCTTTGTCATAGCAAGGATGAATTAGTGGTACACTTGCTTGCATATTGTCAATACATGTATACAACCAACGAGTTTGGTCTAGAGCGAGGACTTGGACCAAGGGACAGTTCCCTGTCCCTTTGGGCTGGGCTTCCTTTCGATTTGTGTCCATTTGGTGGCATGCGGTGGGAAAGGCCGAGGGCATGCCTGTTAAAGCCATCCATTTGTTGGCAATCTTGGTGGCTTGGGAGCTCTGGAAGGAACACAATATGCTATAATCTTTCAACGACACTACTCCCCACTATAGAAAGCCTAATTGCGAAAAGCAAAGAGGAAGCGAGGACCTTCAAGAGGGTAGTCCTCTAGTTGATCTCTCTGACTTCGTGCCTTTTCCCCCTTCTTTTCAAACTTCTATTTCACGTTTAAATGTGCTCTTCTTCTCTATTAGTATATGTTGTCTGTCATTTACATCTTCCCTTTGTCGAACTAAACAAAGAAACTAGGGCCTCCAAAAATACTATAATTTTTTAAATAGATGATAAAAAATAAACATGGCCCATTTTTCTTGTATATGTTATCGTAACTTTTATAGTTTTAAAATTAAAATTCCAAAATGTTATATTTGAGTTTTTTATTACAAAATTACAAGGTATTTTAGGCTTCTAGATTCTTCGTTTCGGATTAAAAAAAAAGACTAAACGGCATGTCTAATAGAAATGGTTCCACGTGTGTACCATGGGAAAACGATTATTCTCATGGAAAATTGATTACTCTCATGAAATAGATATTGTTCTACCCAGGAACGACTTTCAAAAGGAAGAATGGAATACAGGTACATTTCATTTTATGGGAGAACAAAATTATAGAATGACAACCTATGATTTTTTGTATTCCGTGTATTTTCAAGATATTTCTGTAATTTGCGCAACAAATTGTATTAAAAATAAAAAATTCAATTCAGCACATCCATAACCAATTAGCATGGCGACAATGGATCGCCTTGCCTTCGTATTTCACATTGCAGTATGAGCAAACATATACATACAACTGCTATGTCAATATTCCAAAAACTATTGAAGAACACACATTTACATTTTATTTCACACTGACTGCAGAAAACAGCCCAAACCCAGACACTTCAGTGTCTAGCTGCATTTAGCTTAGCAACATATACATATGAGTTCAGCAATCATGCGTATATACTGTTCCACATTTACAAGACAAAGCATATCAGTTCAGCAATCTGAATATACTGTTTCCATTTACAAGACAGGCATAAGTAACACATAAACCAGGCAGCATTTTATTTTGGAATACACAAGCATCGACATACACGCACAATATAAAAGGGTCCCAATTTCATTATTGATGTAGAGAGCAGGCGGCTTGCTCTGGTTTACAGGTCACTGGTGATACCAGCCTCACAGAAGGCAGTAACAAGCTTCGGCAGAAGCTTACCAAGCATTATCTTGAAACCGGTTGAACAGTTCTTGCTGCCGTCCTCTGATATGTATGCTTTGTCGTGCGCATGTCCAACGAGATCACCCCCAAGATAAGCCTCACAAGCATCCAGAATGTGTGGGGCACGACAAGTGAAATGCTCCTTGACCAACTTCTCAAAATGCTGAATTCAGACAAGGGGACAACTCCATCAATACATATGTTAACAATTAAGTGATTAACAGTGAGTGATGCAGCAGAACTTAGCTAAATCAATACAGATTCCCACGGTACATACTATACTCAACTCATAGCATTATAAATTCAGAAGCATTCTTTACTTCAGAGCTGTTTGATTGAAGTTTAGTTGAACTCATAGCATTATGATTTATGAATTCAGAAGCATTCTTTACTTCTGAAGTTTGATTGAAACATACTAACTGTTTGAAGGTAGATGCATAAGAACTAACATGTTTTCAGAGACTAGTCAGTATGACAACTTCAGAGCTGACAACATACCTTTGGTGGCTTGTGTAAAACATACATCATGGATTTGCATGACAGCAGGAAAGCATTCTCATTGTACGTGATGGAGTTCTTCTCTCCATCAGCCTTACCCACAAATTTGTCATATCCTGCCTCATTGAAATAAGGTTTTTCATTGAGAACAAGGGCCTGAAGCGATAACAACAGCTGAAGAACAGTTGAGTTCTCAGCATTCCACACTTCATTACCAGTTCCTGTCCATGTCTTCAGGAGGCTGAGACATACTTTTCCCGATTCATACAAATTTGGATTCAAACGGAGACCACCAGAGTGATAGTGAACAGACTGGAAAGAAAATTTTACACTATTTGATATTTGAAAAAAAAAGAACTATAAGATTTATACAAGAACAATAGAGACTGGAATGGAAGAGCTTACAGGTGGTTCATGGGGATAGTCAGGAGGAAAGAAAATATCAAAGAAAAAAAGATTGTCATGATAAGGTGTTCCAGCTGCCCCAACAATGCAAGCCCTCAGAAGATCCATCCTTTCCTCATAAACTCTCACATGAATACCATCTGCATAATTAAAACAAAGCATACATATAAACATCATACTAGAAAATATAACCCATCAGTTTTTAAGAAACATGCACTTGATACAACATCTAATAGTCAGTATAACTAATTGTTTACCTACATCTAATGATCAGATTCCATGATTGCTTAGTACTTGACTATTAGGTGATACTTTTTCAGCCACCAAGGACAAGAAACCCTACAAAGAATGCCATCTTTATGCTTTCAATTGTTCATTCATGTAGCACTTCGATAGCTTGTTTTACACTGAATATGCAAAGGTATCGAGTTGCATGCATCGACCAGTTCAACTCAAAATCTTAAGCTTACGGTGAAGGGTGGGCAATTCACTTTATATTTCAACAAAAGGTCACATAATAAGCTACACCTAGTTGATTTCAGTACTCTGTAATGCCTATGAACAAGTGTAACTGCTTGAGATGGAATATCGTGGACCAGAACATGAGATAATGGCGAGAATGCTCTCATCAACTCCGGGGTTTTCCCAAAAACCATGAAACTCTGATCAGTCGACTTGGGTGTGCAAAGCTCTTTACTAGATTGATTCCTAAACATGACCTACCTTTATATACTAGGAGCCTTCTAAGTAATGTAGGAAACAGGAAGTAAACTAAGAAATGGACTAGGACTCAAGACATAGCAATCAATCCAACGAACCTAGGAATGTACTAGTATTTTTTTTTGAAACAGTAATATGGTTTCCATGACATGGAATATTTGCCAGTGGAGTGTTATGACTTACAACTGGCCTTAAACACCAGTGCAAGTATGCCAGCACTCAATGTTATGGTACATATTTGCTACGATAGTATTGACTATCTCTAAGAAATAATGAGTGAATTAAACAGCTACTGAAGTTTCAGATTTACTAACAGGTACAGGTTACAGAAAGAACAGCTAATGAAGTTTCAGATTTACTGAATTAAACGGTAGAAAAGCTCAAAAGCACACCTGGTAGATCCTTTTGCAGGATGTTCCATTCCTGTTGCACCTTCTTCAGCCAACCTCTTGTAACCTAAAAATAGAAAATAACCATCATTACACATAATTTTCCATTCGCACCAATGACTATTGTTTGAAAAAAAATGTCAGTGAAAGCTTCAGAAGCTGCATTACACTTTCATGGCCATTTTCCTTCACAAAATGATGATCCAAACAGTCAGTGACCACATCAAATCTTTTTGAGATGGCATCTCCTGAAGAGAGAATTGGCTTCTCAATCTGCGCCACAAACTTCACTATCTGTTTTTCTTTTGGCAATTCTTCTGCACATGGCTGCATTTCTGCCATCTTCACAATTTCATATCGAGGATCTACCAAAACCTGGAAGAACAAATTCACTTTAGAACTCTGAAAAAAAAATGAATTTGGCTGAATTTGCTTGACAAATAACTTACTGAGCTTGGAGATGAAGAACCATGAGTACCAAACAAACTAGCAGCCACATTTGTCAGGAAGTCAAAAGCTGTCTTGGGAAATAGAAAAGCAGTGGCTTTGCACAAGGACACAGTGCAGCCTTCAGTAGACTCCAGAGCAATCTGAACAAAAAACAAAAAATGTTCAGCCATCACTTAATACAGTTTAAAAAGTTGAGAAAGAGAGGGAGAGGGAGGGAGGGAGAGAGGGTGGGAGAGAGAGAGAGAGAGAGAGAGAGAGAGAGAGAGACAGACCGACCTCATGGTGCATTTCCAGCTGCTCAGCCTCGTCTAGCGAATCACCAATTGTATGTTCCTCATTCATTGATTCTAGAGAACTATTATCAAGAAGCTTGTCCAATCCAATTATCTCAAAATGTTGCACCTGCCATTGGACAAGAGAGAAATGTGTTACCACTAGTTTGTCCAGACCCATATCTCATGCTCAAAAAAAAAGACTGGAACATATAACTAATACATGGCAAATAAATGCAGCTTAAGAAAGTAGACAACTAACTAACCAAACATGACCAGGACCCAGGACAGACTGACGAAGTTAGTGGCAGAGTTAAAGCTAAGTTACCTTGGATATCACACCATTAGCCCATTGCACTTCAATTCCATTGTCCTTGTACCCAAGTACATTTCCGATGCATGATAAGAAGCCAGAGGAGGTAACCAATGATTCTTTGCTTGCTAATGACCCATTTGTGAGATCTGCTTCAGACTTGTCTATGTTCACAGCTGACCTGATAACGACCTCACCAGTGCAGAAGGAGAAATCTGGGTGCTCTACTAGCTCATAAACACTTACAGTCTCCACTGCAGGGTCACTTCCATAGCTGACAGTGTCACTATGTGCTGGACCAATCCATTTTACATTTACTGTCCGCTCCAGTGCATCCACATCTCTCACTATTGCCGTTCGCTGACATCTTGCAGCGTCCTCTACAGTCAGTTTTTCTAGGACATATTGACCTGGCCAAAAATCATGGTCACCAAGGGTACTCACAGGGACTAATGCCTGGGGTTCTAGACCAAGAGATACAGTTCCATTCTGCCACAGAACATCAACAGTGCTCTTTGTCTTGGCAACAACATATGTTTGAGAACAATCTGAACCATAACTTTCGAAATACATGTGCCCATGAGAGTCACACTTATGGTCTTCACTAAGAATACAAGACTTGCCAGAATCCATCCAGAGACATCCATTATTGTCGGCCATAAGAGCACACCAATCACCTAGTTGCCAATTAGCGTAAGGGAAACATGACAGCAATGCGAGCTTCTTTGGGTCCTGAATGTTTGGAGGACTTGATGATTTATCTCCCCAAACATTGGTCACAGATGTGATCCAGTTCACATGCACCAGCCCTACATCAACATGAGAGACAATACAATCATCTCTACTGGGCCTCCATGATCCACACAACCATGTTGCCGACTTGGAAACTGACGGATCGACTATCCTCACACGTTGGCCAGGATAATAAAAGTAAGGTGCATCTTCAAAAAGAATAGGAGGAACGGGCTTCAGTACATCCGAATCCCTTAACAGGATTTCACACTTCGCTCCATCACTGAACAAAAGTGTGACAAGATCAAATGCTCTGATCACTCGTCCAATCCATGGCCCCATAACAACGCGGTCACCGGAAACAAAAGATCTCACTCTTGATAGCTTCTTGCTGTTTACATCTTTAATTATGTCACCTGAGCTTGTCTCCAAATCAACAAGCATTGAAACACCAACAACACGTCCCAGCTGACCTGAGGGATCAGAAACAGGGCAGACTATATCCCCATGCAGAAATCCCCTTTCAAAAGTCAGAAAATTATCAATCTTGCCAATGCTCTCATCCAGGCTGGACAAGATGTTTTGGGCATGGTCGCTATATGCAAATTCACATTCTTGGTCTTCACTGTCACTGGTCCCAGTATATGACTCACTATCTGAGTCAATTGCAAACAAATCCATAATTTCAAGCCCTGCAACGTCACACTTGGTTATTGATACGGTATAAGACAACCTTGTTAAGAAATGTTACTCCACAATTACCTACCTTCTTAGTAAGGTGTGCCTGCTTGGGTAACGTGGTAATCTCAAGAACAAACAACAATATGCAAATTGATGTTCAGAATGTCAATATACCAGCTGGCCAAGTATTGCTGCAGAAAATAATGGAAACATAAGAGGATCAGAGATTGTAACGAGAGAAAAAAAAGAACCATATCTCTTTATAGTGTTTGCAATGTACTGGGAGGTACCAGCACCTAAACAATACCAAACATCCTAACCTTATAACTTAAGGATAATTTACAGGGGTTTTGTCACAAAAACTTTCAAATTCTTAAAACACTTGGCGTGCTCGAAATTTATCTGTTTACCATCTAGTTCTGCCATTTGCCATTGGATTGTGTGTTGCTCCACATGCTTATTTCTTTTTTCTTTCCCTTCCATTCTGCCATGACCATAGCAACCACATCGAGTGGCAGAGAAACCTTGTGGAGACTTTTCCATTATCACCTTATGTAATATACTAATCTATTATCCATCCACTGAAATACATATGTATGGCCCCATAGCCTTCTACTGATGCTGATGTCACAATTCGTTTTCATCTTCACAGCCATTATCAAATTAACCGAGTGAGGATTGGATAAGCCATAAGCATTTCTCTCTAACCTTGTGTTCTAATTTTGAGTTACATGTCCTACATTTAAGTGCATCTAGTTATGGATCATTGGGATACAAGTAATGAATGGCCATCACAGCTTTACAGGAACCACAAATGTCACAGGAAATCGGTGTATTACCTTCCAGAATTACTTCTTGATATTTTCGTACAACTTATGTGCAGGCAGGCAGCACACTTGACTGTTAATGCCAAAGGAGAATTACCCAGATATAGATGCTAGTACACACAGCTGAAGGAGATTTACCAAAAATAGTAAATATAAATGGTATTTAGTGCCAAAGGAGATTTGCCCGAAGAGCAATATGAAACAAAAGCTAGAACTAGTGCCAAAGGAGATTTGCCCAGAGAGATATCTGAAGCAGCTAATGCCAAAGGAGATTTGCCCAGAAGAACTATTAATAAGTACTGCCAAAGGAGATTTGCCCAGCAAATCAGATGATAAGAAACCTTATGAAACTTCCATCAAACTAGATGAGAATTTCATAACGGATATCATTTGGAAGTCTCTTTGCTGCTGATAGTTCATTGGACGAGGAGAATATGCTCAGGATAACCAACAAAGTGATGCACCCTGAACAATGTTTGCCAAAGGAGATTTGCCCTAAAACAAGGATTCTTTCATAAAGGGAGGTGATTCCAATAGAGGAAAGACCAGCTGACAGATGATATACTCTGGATGATCACAGAACATAAGTGACCAGGAGCATTGGTCCATAATCAAGCCCAATCACACAGAAGAGAACAGGCTACCATCTGGTGACCAGTACTCCTCAAGAAAGCAACCAAGATAACAGCTTTTCATCGGTGGGGGCTTCACTTATAATGAGATCACATAATAGAGTGGCCTATCAGGTTCAATTGCCAAGATCAGCTGACCCTGTAACCATAGCAAGACAAGATTAGTCCAAATGGTCATCATACTACAAAATAATACCATGCAAGCCCACAAAGAGAAAAAAATATTTACATGCTTCAGAGAAAATGGTGATCAAGGAAACTGAGACTTTCAAGGACGAATACGGTAGAAAATGCCCTTAATTTTCTCACTATACTAGGCTATTTCCAGGAATGAAGTTTGTTGGGTATATGAAAAGTGAAAAGTTAAAACTGTTTCTAAATTAGAAGTTATTGCGTAAAAATGAATGGGGCAGATCAGAAATATGATTCTCAGAACAAATAATTATTGATTAAAAAATGCTCAAACATATCAAAAAAAAAATTTGCCATTGCATTCGAATTACCATTTTATTTCTGAAACACCATAATAATATAGTCCAAGACACCAAAAGAATAAAAAAGTCAGTTCAAATTGACATAAATACAAAAACATTTTATTCCAACAACAAGAAAACCTAGATATATTAAGATTATTATCCAGAATGACAGCACAAACAGTAGATATAGAGTTTTGCTTGCTAGAATACACATATACAAACATGTAGGAGTTATCACTCTGATCGATGACAACTACAGCAAACGGTATGTCCTTTTTTTCCAACTGCAAGGTAAAATAGGCATAATGAAAGATCTGAAAGTTCAGGCTGAAGCACTAATTCACCAATAGATGGGGCAGGCAAAAACCAAATCAACCAAAGAAGGCAGAGTGGATGATTCCCTAAAATAACCTGTACTTCAAACTTTACATTGAAAACCCCAAAATAACCTGTACTTCCAACTTTATTTAATTGAAGAAACTATCAGACAAATAAGTTTGAATCGGGGAAACAACTAGTTTTTTTAGTTAACACAAATGTCATTTTGTAAACTTGACCTGGGAAATTGAGATTCTTCCTGGTAAACATGAAGATAACAAGAAATCGCACACACGTCAACATCATAATCACTCATAAGCAGCTATGACAGCCCATTCAATGAACAAATCTTCTGAATAAATCAAACACAACCAATTATCTATCCATGCTAGTTACATCCTCCTAGAAGCAAACAAAGATGGAGTCAAACTAAATCTTAGTACCCTATACACCAATCAAATAAGACAAACAAAATTCCTTAGTCCCACAGCTCCAAATCCAACAAAGGAGTCAGATATTTCGCTTTCAATCAACAACAAAGAAGTAACGACACAAGGCCAGTGATAACCGAATTTCTCACTGGGAACCTGGCAAAAACACAACTGCCAAAAATGAACAATATAGGCATATAGCATAAATAATTCGCGCTCCTTAACAACGATCACGCGGCTGGTGTTCGCCGCGGCAGGAGTCGGGGAGTAGCAGCGGCTGCGCCGGCACAACAGGCAGGGAAGCCAGGGGAACCGCCGGCGCCCCCGTTAACGACATGCGAAATGAACCTTGAAAACAGGAACCAAATTTGAAGCCTGACGAAAATGGCATCCATACCTGTCGCAGTTCCAGCCCGCCGCCATGCTCGCTCCCACGACCCCGTCCCGCGAGCCCAGACCCGAGCACCGAAGAAGAGGAAGCTACTATCCTCCTCTTCCTCCACGCCTCAATCCATCCCCGAACCCTTCGACCATGGCCAGCAAGCTCCTGAATTCCAACGGCTCCAATTCCTCCAAGGAAGCAGAGGCCAAGACGTGTAGCACCACCACCACCAAGTCGCACCAATCACAGCCCGGAGCAGTTGAACACTGGAGTGATCGCGCCCACCGATATTTCAAGTGGCAGTGAGGACGCGAGGAGGGCGAGAGGACAGGGAGCCTAGAGAGAGAGAGAGAGAGGGAGGGAGTGGGAGGTTCTTGCTGGGTGCTCGGCGGCTGCTCGAGTGGTCGGGGTGGCTGTGCCGGTACGACTGTCTCAACCTGGACACCGAAACTTAAAAGGGGCAGGAAGACATTCAAAATCAGTTTCCAACAGCTTTATATAGGGTCTGTTTGGTATGTTGTTGAGCTCAGCCTGGCTCGTATCCCCCCGCCAGCCCTTGGCAGGCCTGGCCGAACACATGCAACTAGACATTGTTTGGTTGCTCGGTTCAAAAGAGCCTAGCTAGTGTGAGCTTTGTTTAGTTACATGTATGGATAGACAGATGGGACAGATAGATGCATGGTAGGGTGTTTGGTTGGTTGCACAAACTCAAGGTTCGAATACCTCTTGCATCATGTGGTGAGTATACCTCCCAACCTTCATGTGCATAGTTTACACATGATTGACTACATCAGCTTAACAATGACCATAACTAACAACAGAATTACAACACTATTAACATAACATCTTTTGACTTAAAGGAGGCAACTTGTTTTTCGGCCGTCCCATGGTTCTTCATTCCCTTGTCTCCCAAATTGGCATCTTCTTTGTCGGCCGTCCCAAAGAAGGCAGCAGTAGCTTCTTCTTTGGTCTTGTACTTCTTGAAGAGTGCTCTAGGAAACACATTCACATGTTCATGACACTCCTCCCAATTTGTAAAAATCCCAGTCTTTCGTCCACAAGTAACAACATACCAGAACCAAAAAATAGCAAAGAGGCATATGCTCAGATGTTCCAAACAGTAATTGTAAATAAGGTATATGCTCAGCCTAAAAAAACATCATTGGCATGAGGCATTAGGTGCCTGCAGCGAGATTGTGAGGGAACATTCAGTGAGGGTTCCATCACCAAGCATTAGGGTTTCAAAATGAAGAGGAAGAGGCAAAGGGAGGGGGAGAAATCACTTGCCTATATAGGCCTCAGATCCACAGCACCTGCAGAGAGAGAGGGGAAGGTTTAGGAAGCCATGAATCGATGAACTACTGAGCAGAGAAGAGGAGATCGAGGTGGAGCACATACGTCTCCGAAGGTGCTCCCACGGCGAGGGAGTGGTCCCAGATCCGGCGAGGCAACCAAGGCCAGATCAATCAAAAAACATCACAGGTAATGAACATGTGCTCAGATCAATTCAAAAACATCACAGGCAATGGACAAGTGCTCAGTTCAGTCATAAAGCATCACAGGCAATGGACATGTGCTCAGATATAAGAAAACAAATATCACAGGCAATAAGGCAAGTGCTCAGAATGAAATTGTGCAAATCACAGGCACAGGCTGGTGCCCATATCAAGTTCAGAACCACAAGGTTCACATCATTGGCAATGGACTCATGGTTAGATTACCACCACTAGGTTGATCTAGGTTGTAGGTGCAGGGTTATCTAAGACACTAACTATATGTTAGTGTTAGTAAGTAAGCTATGCAGGATCAGATCAACTACACAAAAGAGAAGGTCAACCCACTACACATCCACCAGCTGTAGTTAGGTATGCACAAAAGAGGCCACCACTGCATAGGGACAGGCACTGCATCAGAAGACCACCATGATAATGCAGGCACTGCACAAAAGGATCAACCCCAAGCTGTGAAGCCTTCACATGTAGTAGTGCTTGGCCAAGTAGGTCCTTAGCCACAGCTCACGGTGGGAGTCAGACATCTTGACAAAAGCTGAACCCAAGGCCTTGTTGTCCAGCAGATGGCCATAAGCACACATCAGTGCTTTATCAGTGAAGCCTGGCACAAACATAACAGCACCATACAGCTCAGGATGGGAATCCTCAACCTTGGTCGACCTAATAGCATCAACAACATCCTTCACTGCCTCTGCCATGCCAGTGAATAGAACAACATCCTCTTCTGCCAGCATGGATCTCTTCCTTTTGTTACCAACTCCTCCCTCACTCTTGGTATCCTCAGGAGTCACAGTCTTGCCACTGTTCAGGATCTCAGTAGGCTCAGTCTTTAGTGAGCTCTCAGCACAGTCAGATGGTGTGCCAAGTGGCTCATTGGAGCTCATAGCCCACTTGCCTGTTGCCTAACCGTTGCCAAAGATGACCATCATCTGCTTGTAGTGTTGTATGGGCTTGTTGAGCAGTGGAGCATCATTGGGGTGGTCCTGCATAATGAACTGTCCCTTGTTAGCCATAATGACAAAATGTTTCAAAGAGTCATCTAACAAATCAAGTTGTAGTATCACAGGTTCTTGCTCACCTTGGTATGACCATTGTAGTGTTCCTCCTCAAGAACAATCATGCAGTTGTCCTCATCCCACTGAGCTCCACTAAGGTCTCTCAGCTTGGACAGTTTCACCCACCTCTGCCTCCACTTCCTCAGGTGGTTGTACACCTAGGTACCACTAACTTCATGACCACAGAACTCTTGCAGGGCCTTTGCCACCTTGTTCAGGTGCACTTCTTTGAAGCCCTTATCAGTCCTCACTCCAGTGGTAATGAGCTGGCACATCTGCTTTAGCACAAAGGCAGACATGGGCTCAGTCCACCTCAGAGAGGTCCTCTGCTGAGCAACCACATTATCACCACCAAAAGACCACCATCCAGTCCAGGGAACACAAGCTCATCAGCAGGCATCATCTCCTCAGCCATAGCCTAATTCATCATTGCACATGCCCGAGCCTCAAAGACAGTGTGTATTATGTCAAGAAAAAATATCATTGCACATGCCCAAAGCCTCAGCATAAGTGTAGTATCACAGAAAATTTATCATCATTGCACATGCCCAAAGCCTCAGCATAGGTGTAGTATCACAGAAAATTTATCATCATTGCACATGCCCAAAGCCTCAGCATAAGTGTAGTATCACAAAAAAAATATCATTGCTATTGCCCAAAGTCTCCGATCAAGTGTAGTATCATAGAAAATTTATCATCATTGCTATTGCCCAAAGTCTTAGATCTAGTGTAGTATCACAGAAAAAAAATATCATTGCTATTGCCCAAAGTCTCAGATGAAGTGTAGTATCATAGAAAAAACATCATTGCTATTGCCCAAAGTCTCAGATCAAGTGTAGTATCACAGAAAAAACATCATTGCTATTGCCCAAAGTCTCAGATAAAGTGTAGTATCACAGAAAAAAACAGTATTTGTCCATGAATAAAATGAATTACAGATAAATTAATGATACATAAAAGAACTCTAGACTCTAGAAAGACCCCTTTTAGCCCACATGTGATTAGCCCATTCATCCCTCTGAAGTGCCCAGGCAGCATTGTCATCCATATGAGTAGGATGGGGCTGACTGTTTGTGTCATTTGGTACCCAAGAGAACTCTTCTGGAATAACCTCATCAACCCCAAAACTAAGGATCCAGTTATGCATTATACAACATGCAAACACAAGCTTGATTTGTGTCCTCAAGCGATGGAATGGTTTGTTGGTGTCAATGATGCGAAAACGGTTCTTCAGAGCTCCAAATGCCCTTTCTACAGTTACTCTCAAACTAGAGTGCCTCAAATTATACAACTCTTTTGGGTTGGTTGGGTAGTTCCTATTCCCATATTCTTTAAGATGGTACCTACAACCTCGATAAGGAGGAAGAAATCCAGGCCGACAAGCATATCCAGCATCTACTAAGAAGAATTTGCCTAAAATAAATGTGGAGTTCAATTAGATTCATCATTTTGCAGTTACATTTGCTTCTTATTATCATAGTTGATTTAATTATCTGGTGGAACCCTCAACCCATCCTCTCTCTGTAATGCATCAGCAAGAATTGTGGCATCATGAGCTGATCCCTCCCAACCAGCCAGCACATAGGTAAATTTCAAGTCAAAGCTAACTGCTGCTAGCACATTTTGTGTGGGGGCATTCTTTCTACCCCTAAATGTAGCTTGCATCTTGGCTGGAACTTTGGCAAATACATGAGTCCCATCAATGGTCCCAATGCAGTTCTACATGGCATCCAAAATTGCATAGTAAATTGACATGAGCTAATGCAATAATATCCTAGCAGCTATATGACAGGTTTTTTTACCTTAAAGTAAGGATACCATCTATGGCTGTTGCTAATCTTTACTAGTGTCTCATTGCTTGGAGGTCTAATCATCTCTTGTCTAAGTTCACCAATAGCATACAACATATCTTTAAAATGGCGATGGACTGTCTCTATAGACCTTCTCCAGTTTTGCTTTACAACTCTAAATCGTTGGTTATGACCAACAATATGGAGAAACATTGCAACTTGCTCTTCAACACAAGAATTTATGTTGTCAGCAAGTAGCTTCTTGTCCCTAAGCAAGTTGCACAAACTAAAAAAGGGTGCCCTTCTCATTCTAAGCATGTTCACACACTCTATATCATTGTAGTTGTAAATTAAGTTCAAGTTCCTTTGGCGCTCCTCATCCCTAATGCTCATTGGACCATAACTGATCTGAGGCCGCTGACTCTAAAGCATTCTAAGTCTAGCAAATAGCAGGGCATACATAGCAGTGATAAGAGCAGCAGCACGAGCAAAAAGAATGTGTCTCTTCTCTTCCAAGTCCATCTAGAAAAAATGAATGGAATTTAAGGACAAATGCTCAAAATGACAATGTCATCATCATGGACTTGGACAAAAGCTCAGAAAAAGGATTCATCATATACTAGAACATGCTAAAAATAAGACTTTCATCATCACAGAATAGGGCAATAGCTCAGAAAAAGGCATCATCATAGACTAAGGCAATAGCTCAGGACAAAAGGAATCATCACAGACTTGGACAATAGCTCAGACAAAATGGCAACTTCATATACTTGCTCATAATCTCACAAAGTAGGACATGCATCCGAATCCAAGAACGCAGGACTCACTATCGCACGGTACAGATTAGGGGGGGGGCGAGAGGGGGAGTAGATATACAAAATACCCATGTCAACAAGCAGCAGCACCAGCAAAAGCCCAACCCAGCAGGTGAGGGAGCTCAGATCTGTAAGCACACAAGCAAAGAAAAGAGGATTAGCATACACAAAATAGGATTTTTACTTGAAAAAAACAAGAAAAAAATGAGACCTAAGAACAAGGATCCATACCGCAATAATAGCCAAGAAATCGGATCTAGTGTGCCTGCAGCGAGATCAACAAACAATGGTGACATAGGGTTTCAAATCGCACAGAAAAAATGGAGAAAGAGAAGGGGAAAAACTCACTTGCTTCGAGAGGACGCAAATCCACGGCACCTGCAACAAATCGAGAGAGAGAGGGTAGGCATTAGGAGGCCACGAATCCATCAAGAACACCGGGGGGAGGAGGAAGAGGAGGTGGAGCTTACCAGCGGCGCAGACGGGGAGCGACAAGAAGAAGAAGAGAGGGAGGCGGGGGGAGGGAAGATATAGAGGCGGTGAATGACGGAAATGGGGGAGGTAACCCTAGGATCTTCGCGCCATCTCCCCACGCACGGAATCGCCAGGCACGTGAGCTCGCGGGAGCACGGAGCGAGCCAGTTGAAGAAAAATGGCCGATTTGGGCGTTCCTCGTGAGCCAAGCCAGGAGGGGGCTTTTGCACGAGCGGAGCCTGGCTTGGGAGGGTGGCCAGAAACCAAATATGAGCAGGCTGCATCCCGGGAGCATGGTTTGCCCTTATGCGGGCAACCAAACACGCCCATAGGAGATCAATTTTGGATTGCTCGAGAGACATAGCTTAAATATGGGTATTCTCTTTTCTGTAAACCCATTTGTAGAAAGAATTCTCTTTTGAGTCTTGTTGTTGGAGAAAATGCCGAATATGTATTAAACCTTTTGCCTATAACGCTACCCAAAGGATGAATGAGTCTTATATTTTAGTTGTTGTTGTTGGAGATGGCCGAAGACTGTCTCCAATAAAGAATCTATATTGGCACTCAAACTCAAAATAGATAGCAAGAGATCCCAAATCAGCCTCCAACAGAGTATCTATATATGAGACCTATTTTAGGTTGTCTAAGAGGCACAACCTAAATATGGACATCCTCTCTCCTGAAAACCCATTTGCAGAAAGGATTATCTTTTGGGTCTTGTTGTTGGAGAAGATGTCGAATAGGTATTGAACCTTTTGCCTGTAGCGCTACCCAAAAAACGAATGGGTCTTGTATTTTAGGTGTTGTTGTTGGAGATAGCCTCAGGCAACCTAAAATAGGTCTCCTGTATAGGTACTCTGTTGGAGGCTAATTTTGGGTCTCTTGCTACCCATTTTGAGTTTGGATGCCCATATGGGTTTATTGTTGGAGACCGTCTTAGGCTATCTCGAACAACAACACCCAAAATACAAGGCACATTCGTTTTTTGGGTAGCGCTACAGGCAAAATGTTCAATACCTATTCGGCATCTTCTTCAGCAAGAAAACCCAAAATAGAATCCTTTCTATAAATAGGTTTCTAGGAGAGAGAATGCCCATATTTGGATTGTGTCTCTCAGACAACTTAAAATAGGTCTCTCTGTATAAGTACTCTGTTGGAGGCTAATTTTGGGTCTCTTGCTACTTATTTTGGGTTTGGGTGTCTATGTGGGTTCTTTGTTGGAGACCGTCTGAGAGGCCCAACCTAAATATGGACATCATCTTTCCTGGAAACCCATTTGTAAAAATAATTTTTTTTAGGTTTTATTGTCGAAGAAGATGTCGAATAGGTATTGAATTTTTTTTTTGCCAATAACGCTGCCTAAATAACAAATGCTTATTGTATTTTGAATGTCTACGGTGCGCAAGCGCAAAGGCCTCGCGTTTCCGGTGCCGCGCACGATTCTTTTGGCTTCTTTAATCGAGGGTGCGCCAAATTGCGCTGCGCTAATGGGATTCCATCCTGCCACTTTACGAACTCGCCTTTTCTTCCTCCACTCTCTCTTTTTTCTTCTCTCTCTAAGTACATTGGGAACTGGAGAAAGCTTTGGCTGGTCTTCCGAATTTTCATTTCCTTGGCGTGAAATGACGCGGACCTAACACGCGGTGGAGGTGAAACAATCAGCAGTCTGTTCATTTAGCTGCAGTCTGTTCGTTTGGCTGTAGCTTTTCGTAAACAATCGTAAATTTTTAGTCGAAACAATATTTTTTCA